TGTTAATTTTAAAATATGTATTTTAAACCCTATATCCTTATACTCTAAACCCCAATCCGATTCCCTAAACTTTAAATAAATGATCATGTCTTTTAGATTTTTTTTTTTGTAAATCAGTATTTGATTGTGTATTCGTTATGTTCTTTTTCTTGATTTTGATATTTATGAATTCAAATATTTTCTTTAAATGTATTTGTACTAATCCATAGATTTGATTGGGTTTAGAAGCCAAAGAAAACAAATAAAGAAACATTTTAGTGACAAATATCCATATATATACGTATACAAAAGTCCAAATTATTCTGTGAACTCCATCTCGTCAATTCTTTCATCCGAGTCCGTGTCTTGGGTCAGCAACATACATCATGCCAAACTGATGCTTTTGGAGCACTGGCTATAGAGGCTCCACTACAAGATATTTCCCAACATGTCACCTGTAATAGATGAACCATTAGACTTCAAGAAAATGATACTTATAAGAATTAACATGGATTTTGGATTTATAGTTTTGATTGAAGTATGCAAACAAATATTATTCTTAGCATACAAACTTGAAGTGAATGATGCTAATAATTAAGAAAGGAAGGTTATCACATTGCTAAAGTTTTCCTTATAATGTTAAAGCAGAGGCAAAGTAAACATTTACTTGAAGCAAAGGTATAGGGATTGATCGCGATCTTCGAATACCCGCTTGAAGAAATCTTTGAATACAGAATGGCCAAAACTTTCAGAGCAAAGTATCGTTTATCTCCTATGTTGTATGATAGCCTCACACTGTTAACCTGAACATGTCAAAACAAACAAACAATCAACATGGTTATCAAAGCTTGTAGTCTCTCATCTGTGAACCTAAGTTGGTTTCAAACTTTCAATACTTACTGGGGCATAATGTGTGATGCTTTTGACACCTCTAGCTCCACCAGGAGCTGCACAGACATACTCGTTGTCCCTGACATAGAGGTTAAGAGCAGCAATACCCTCCTATAAGCCGGTAGAAAATTTTTGCTAATCATTCTATTGCCACTAAGAAAAAGATTGCAACATGAAGCTAAAGAAGGTGTGAGCTCAAACCTGATTTCTCATCTGGCTATGAATATAAATACACTAACTCATAAATCAAACACCAATACACAAATGCATACCAACAAGAAAAGATACATATTTTCTCACAGAACTCATATATATCACCAATGAAAGATACATTAAGTTAGAGAAAGTATCATCTTACATAGCCATTGAACTATTGAGCAGCTGACTCAACTTCAAAAACTAATGATACAGTCACATACGAATCCAAAACCATGCTTCTTCCTGTCACTTGAACTGTTTTGCAGCTGCTTCACACAAACAACAAAAGAGGATTACTCTCAAGGAAACAACAAGCAAAGCATCATCGTTATCCAAGAGGAATAAACTATCAAAAAGCAAAGAAGAAGATAGTTCTGCAACACAGACCT